AAGCGGGTTGTGTAAACTTTATTTTCATACTTTACAATGTAGAGTGAAAATAAACGTATCTTTGTGAGCAAGTTTTCTCTGTAATGAGTATAAATAAAACAAAGCTGCACTCAAGGCTCACATAAGAACTTGAATTACATCCTGAAGTTGGCCGCCACTCAGGATGTGACTTGATGTTGATGTGCTGGTGAAAGCTAAAAGATGTAAAGTAAAATGAGTCAAATATATATTTAAGTGCTGCATGAAACTGATCTAGCCATGTGATCTGTAAGCTCTTTGAATCACTAAGGAATGTTTTTTTAATTTATTGATTTTTTTTTTTCTCAAATTTTCAAGTACACTTCAGGTGTTGTACTATTTTGGATACACTGTCCTCAGGCTCCAGCTTTGTTTTATATTGATTGTATTAAATAAAAGAAAACAATCTGAAGTTGTTTTTAATTTACCGGTCCGGCCCACTTCGGACTAGATTTCCCTCAATGTGGCCCCTGAGCTAAAATGAGTTTGACACCCCTGTTATAGATGAATAACCTTGGGTAGGTTTTATTCCTGATCCGTTTGCTAACGCTGCCTACTCAGCTGTAGGTACAAACAAGGAAAACAGAAGCCATCATACTAACACTTAAGGAGAAACACCCGCGCTGAAGTTTTACACTTTTCAAAGCTTTTATTTCAGTTTTCAATTCATATTGAATAGAAAAATACAATAGAACATCATTTACAGTAGATTGAATAAGGCTAACATTGTGTAATTTGTTTCAATTGCCTAGTGTGCCATAAATGATTTGTGCTGCTTTGATGTGATTAGTTATTTGCACTGCTTTGCTTGCATTGCTTTATTTTACTGCTGATAATTTCACCTGTGTAAATCTACTTCTTGGTTTTATTGCCTGTGGTGTTCAAATAATGATTATTTTTATTGCCCATAATGGTTTTATTGCTGGTTCTATTGACTTCATGTTCTTTCTATTTACGCCGTGGTTGGTCAGCGCTGGAGAGGCTTAGCAGACTGTCTACTTTGTAATGTGGGATCACAACAAGTTATAATGATTGACAGGGAACAGAAGATTTTTTTTCTGTTAATCAATCCTGAAGTTTTATTTCTGACGGTTGCACATGGTGACTGTAAGAAACAGGAATGAGAAAGTACCAAGAATGTGTATCTTGTTCAAATAAGAACAAATTGTATTGAATCATCTGCTTGGACGTCCGTGCCATCTTTATTTAGTTTCCTTTGAGCTAATAAAATGATATAAAATCCACAGATTGGTAAAGGAACGACCATCCACGACACCACTGTGCTCTAGACATTTCTGCACACAGTCAGCAAGCGTCATCAAGTGTCACATGAGCTACCAGTTCCCATGGTGATTAGACCTTAAGAGTTCAAGGTTCAAGCTCTTAGTCGAGACTGAGTGTGTGTTTTATATGCCTTCCTGTTCTATGATTGCTTATTTGTGTTCAAGTCATTTCACATTGGGCGACATGGTGGCTGTTGGTACTGTAGGCATCTGACCAAGATGGTGTGTCAGGATTTCCATTTTTAAAATGAAGCTAGCGTCTTCTGATGTTCTGTGGAAATAGAAGATCATTGTTGGTATTCCTGCACTTCCAGGATGTCCTGGTTAAAACATACTTTTTATCACAGCTTCTTTTAATGGGACAATGATGTGATCATGAAACATCTTAATTAGAATAAGATGATTAAAATCACAAGCTGCAAAGGAAATTGTGCTCTCTGTCATGTGGAAAAAGATGAGATTGATTGTGTAAAGGACTGCAGACATTGTGGGAAGGAGCTCTGCTGACATCCCGCTAAGAGAGAAATTGCTCTGGAGACTTGGGGACAGATGGTTAACAGGAAAAGGGCAGTATGCATGGCGATGAGACGAGAGGCAACCAACAGGAAACAAATACTAAATATTATGGTCAAATATTAAAAAGGAGGAACACACACCTGAGATGGGGACAAGTTTGTGTAACAATTTAATTTATACTTTATTCCAAATTTAGTCCCATCTGAAACATACAATCCTGGAAAATCCCCATGATTGGATCATGATCCATCCATCAGACCCCCCCCCCCCCCCACACACACACACACACACTTGTTCACAAAAGTGCACATTCTTATCTTAGATCAGCTACGCAGGAAATAATGCTAGAGCCTGGCTAGGTATACTAGCTAGCATTGTAAACTGTTCAATGTTTGCGTAAGTACGTTTGTTAGGAATAATAACAGAGAAAGCCAACAATGAGTCAAAAATGCAAAACCATTATATGAAAAGGCTATGTCCAAGAATAAAGCTAAAGAGTGGAACAAGAGCAGAGTGTGCATTGGGGGGGGGGGGCTTTTAGAAATGTGTTTTTTAAACTGTGTCTTGCTTGAATAGCTTTTCCAAGAACTACTGTAACTTTAATTCACAGCCAGATACAGTGGTTCAGAAGTCTTACTATGAAATGGTGTTCTACCTCGAGACACCATTACTAGATCAGCTGCCATTGATTATTTATCAAAGTAAAGTAAAAAATACATGCTTCTTCTTGAGCTCCTTAATATTGTTTGTTTATGTATCAAGATTGCAGCAGTCACTGTTAAAACAAAAATCATCGTCTTTTCAATTTTTTTAAAATGTCTTCACATGAGCATCTAATTGGTAGCTCTCCAGTCCTGTAGGGTTTAAATCTATGCAAACAAAGGATTTCAGAAAGGTGTTTATAGTAGGTATTATACCAAGCGTTTATGGTTTTTACACAAAACATACCAAGAATTATTCTAACTCGTGTTGCGAGTGCTTTAACTATGCCAATATTCCCATCATCTCTAAATAGCATAGAATCTATTAGCAAGGTTCTTGAAAGTGCTTGAATCTTTAAGTTTTAAACCAAAACAGAGAGTGGTTTTAGATCAATAATCCGAACTTTTGGTGTGTGTGTGTGTGTGGGGGGGGGGGTGTCGACTAAAAATGTGACCCATTGCCTCCCTGCCTGACACTTAGCTTTAAGGGGTTGGATTCGGGGTTAAACCACCAAATGGTTCCCGAGCGCAGCCACAGCTGTATCTCACTGCTCCCCACTGGGAGGGGTCAGACGTGGAAATGAATTTCACCAGTGTGTGATGATTAATGTGTCAAGAAAATCTTGAAAACTCACCTTGAAAGTGCTTGAATTATATTTGGACAAACTGTGAAAGTGTCTACTTCAAATATACACTCACCTAAATAATTATTAGGAACACCTGTTCAACAATAGACTTGCTTTTATTAACTCTTTATCCAGGAGCATCATTCCGCAGCTATTTGTGTGGTAGGTGACTTGAATGCTGACGTCACAGTCAGTCTGTGTTTGCTAAGCATATGTTGGAGTTCTGTGAGGATAACAATCTTATTTTGTCTAGCCAGCTATTGTTACCACCTGACAGTTAACTTGTATAAGTGAAGCATAGAACATCATGTCATGGCTTGATCATTGCATCAGTACTGCTGATGCCCATGCTGGATTGAAATTATGCAGATCATGTACAACTACTGTGTCTGATCGTGTGCCGCTTGTTATGCAGCTGGAAGTCGGAGGTTTGCTTGTCTGGGTTCATGACCCATGGTCTGCTACCCGACTCTTTACTGTCTGGTACCTTAGTGCCTGTCATCAAAAACAAAGCTGGTAAAGTGTGGAGCCTGGATAACTACAGGCCAATAGCCGTAGCTAGTGTCATTTCTAAGGTCAAGTTAAATGGGACAATACCACATCAGCCCCCTTTGGTGTTAACAATGGGGTGCATCAGGGAGGGCTACTGTCACCTGCTCTGTTCAACCTCTACATGGATGATTTGTCAAATCAACTCAAGAAATGTAAAACTGGATGTATGATTGGTAACAATCTGATTAATCATCTCATGTATGCTGATGACTTGGCCATCATTTCGCCCAGCAGTGCTGGTTTTCAGCAGCTGCTAAACACATGCTCTGAATATGGGCGGAAGTACGATGTGCAGTTTAATGCAAAAGAGTGTTGTGCTGATTTGTCGAACCAAAGGGGATAAGGATCTTTGTTTCCCAGACTTCTACTTGGTCGACAAGAAGATAAGTGTCAGTGACAAAGCAAAAAATTTGGGTCACATCATCACAGATCAGCTCTGTGACGATGACGACATTTACCGGCAATGTTGCACTTTGTATGCCCAAGCCAATATTTTGGTCAGGAAATTCCACGTGTGTTCTGATAAGATAAAAATCCACCTTTTTAGAACCTACTGCACACCATTGTATACTGCACCTTTGTGGTGTAAGTATAAGAAAACCAGCTTGCATACGCTTAAAGTAGCTTACAACGATGCATTTAGGACTCTGCTAGGGAAGCCTTGGTCCTGTAGTGCAAGTCTTTTATTTTGTAATGCTCATGTCAGGACTCTCAAGCCATAATGAGTAATTTGATGTACAGGTTTATCTTGCGATTGAAGAACTCTAACCCCAAAATTCCATTATCTCCGCTCCTCTCCGCCCCCGCTTTCTGCTGCCGCTCGCTTCCGAACTCACATTATACTGGTACCCGCTCTACAACGGCTCTGCTCCGGTGCGGAGACCTGAGGTGCGCAAACAGGCATGCGCGAGATTTTCGAGATCTTGCGATACAGTCCGAGCAATAAACGCGGAAGTTAGATCCAAACACCCATTGTGTGGGAGAAGCATCGAAATGAACTGTTTAATCTGCCCATCATTTGTGTTGAGAGATCAGCAGTGTTTGGATCGACAAAGTGTGACTACTTTGATAGTGGAAACTGTATTTATGGCTTATTTTTGTGCATTTAAAGTTCAACCGCCATTGATAGTTGTTAAAAGTTGTTAAACCTGTGCATATGAAACAAAAAACGCCTTTTGTTATCGATTTATTGTGAAATAACGGTAGCTGTGCTTGCTCCTTTTCCTGTTGGGTGGTTGTGATTTCTGTCCATTGACTGCGGAGGTGCTCCGGCGTCCGGCAAAAATAGAATCGATCCTATTTTTGCCAGATGACGTGCGCCGCATGGCCGCAGTATTGGAACAGCTCTGACTGACTACAATGGGACCGTTTTTTCTGCGGAGTTCGTGCCGGAGCGGAGCGGAGATAGTGGAATTTTGGGGTAAGAACAGACTTGTGCGGATGCTGGTTGATCTCCATTTTAGTGCAGTGCGTTACCAGTTATCCATGTGGAGACACTGGTATTCATGTCTTTTATAATCATTTGTATCGTTTTATGTCTCTTTTTTAATGTAGACCTTGAGTCCGATAATAAAGTTGAATTGAACTTCTCCTTAATGCAATTATCTAATCAACCAATCACATAGCAGTTGCTTCAATGCATTTAGGGGTGTGGTCCTGGTCAACACAATCTCCTGAACTCCAAACTGAATGTCAGAATGGGAAAGAAAGGTGATTTAAGCCATTTTGAGCGTGGTGTGGTTGTCGGTGCCAGACAGGCCGGTCTGAGTATTTCACAATCTGCTCAGTTACTGGGATTTTCACGCGCAACCATTTCTAGGGTTTACAAAGAATGGTGTGAAAAGAGAAAATCATCCAGTATGCGGCAGTCCTGTGGGCGAAAATGCCTTGTTGATGCTAGAGGTCAGAGGAGAATGAGCCGACTGATTCAAGCTGATAGGAGAGCAACTTTGACTGAAATAAGCACTCATTACAACAGAGGAATGCAGCAAAGCATTTGTGAAGCCACAACACGCACAACCTTGAGGCGGATGGGCTACAACAGCAGAAGACCCCACCGGGTACCACTCATCTTCACTACAAATAGGAAAAAGAGGCTACAATTTGCACGCGCTCACCAAAATTGGACTTTTGAAGACTGGAAGAATGAGAATTAATGAAATAAAAAACCACACACTCCTCCAAGTGTTAAGTGGAAGAACTGTTCACTCTGCAAATAAATACTCAGAATATCCAAGGGGACTGCTCATTTGGAGTTCTAATTGGACCCACAACAGTGTATTGACATATCCAACTAGCACAGTAGAAAAAAAACTGTTTTCCGTAGAGTCAAGAACATGGATCCATCGTGCCTTGTTACCACTGTGCAGGCTGGTGGTGGTGGTGTAATGGTGTGGGGGATGTTTTCTTTGCACACTTTAGGCCCCTTAGTGCCAATTGGGCATCGTTTAAATGCCACGGGCTACCTGAGCATTGTTTCTGACCATGTCCATCCCTTCATGACCACCATGTACCCATCCTTTGATGGTGACTTCCAGCAGGATAATGTACCATGTCATAAAGCTCCAATGATTTCTAATTGGTTTCTTGAACATGACAATAAGTTCACTGTACTACAACGGCCCCCACAATCACCGGATCTCAACCCGATGGAGCATCTTTGGGATGTGGTGGAACGGGAGCTTCGTGCCCTGGATGTGTATCCCACAAATCTCCATCAACTGCAAGATGCTATCCTATCAGAATGGGCCAACATTTCTAAAGAATGCTTTCAGCACCTTGTTGAATCAACGCCACGTAGAATTAAGGCAGTTCTGAAAGCGAAAGGGGGTCAAACACCGTATTAGCATGGTGTTCGTAACAATCCTTTTGGTGAGCGTAGAAGACACTTTTAGGTAAAAGTACTTTATAAAGATGGATCCAAGCAATCATCAGTGTTTTCATTGCAGTACAGACATATTTATTTTAATTTCTCTAGCATATCTCAGTTAAATTGACCTCTTGTGTGGCATTCAGATTATAAGGCTGGATTATTTTCTTCCTTTAGTTCATGCCCAGATATTCTCCCAGGTATTCCACCCGAGTGTAAGCAAGTCTGTTTTTTATTTCCCGCCCCGTTTTGAGTGCTTCCAAGAACAGGTTAAACACAGAGAAAACGATTCCCATCGGACAGTTCTGTGTACAGCACAAGCTTTTTTTTCTGATCTCCATCTGGGTCCTGCTGGATCCACAAGGTGAAAGACCTCATAAACATGTGATCTCATTCCTACGCAGTAATCCACTGCAGCCTAAGAGCTGTAAAAACAGATCAGCAAATCGTCATCTACCTTCCCAGACAGATTAGCCAATCATGAGTCACTTCCAGCGAGCGTGGGAGGGATCTGCAGGAGGTTACTTCCTTGAGGAGGGAAGAAACTTTGGGTTTGAGTTGCCCTGCTGTCCGTGGATCTGAAGAGTGGGCCAAGAATGAGTGATCATGGGCTGGGAGTTCTGGACTCGGCAGCTAGATGAGGAGGAACTGGTTGAGAACGGTGAGATTAATGCATTCTCTAAGTGTGAGGAAAAGTGAGCTGTGATTTTAAAGAGCTTGTTGGACTGCTTTTAGATCTCAAGCATCTGGAACTGGTTGTTCAGACTGACTCTTGTTTCCTTTAAAGTTTAGACCTTTATTAAATGTTACCTGGGTTTTGAATGAGACTTCCTTTTGTTGTTGCTTCGGCCTTTCATTTAATCTCAGAAGAGTTTAATAATTAAGACCGTTTACTGCCCCCTCAGGCCCTGTGTCATGTGATCTGTGTGAGTGATGCGGTCGACATTGTAAAATCCAAGCACTCTTATCTCCTTGTGTACTTTGTGTGTTTGAAGCTTTAATCTTTTTTTGTATGGTTGGTCTGACCCAGTTTTTTTTTTAAGTAAAAAATTTGACATTTATCCTTTTGAAGTAAATATATTGACTAACTGATTAAGAAGCATTGATTTTAACGTGTTTAGCTAATGTAGAAGTAGCTTCTCAAGGCTTCACTTGTGTTTAGACTATCTGAATCATGTTGAAGGAGCTGCTAAAGTGAAGCCTTAAACAGGAGTCACATTCATACCATTTTACTGTGGACACAATATAGTTCTCCATGTTTATTTCAAAATAACTTGGTCTCCTTTCAGGCAGTCTCTGAGCAGTACTTGGACTTGTAGTATTCATAGTTTTACTGTCACGGAGTCAGTGAAGTCACACAAGCCTCAAATCAGAATATTGTTACGCTCTTCAAAACTAAACCATTCTGCTTCAAAGTCCACTGTAATACACAGAAGTTACATGCTGTTTAGGACTAGAATGGACAAATTCCTAATATTTATTCATTCTAATGGTGTTCTCTTAGGCACATTGTGATACGGCAGGTAAAAGCTTGCCAAAAAATAAACGTCTTCAAGAATCTGTACTGTATCACACTCAAGGAGGCGATTCTGACCGGTTAGATTAGTCTCCAGATTAAACACGTGACCATTACCCCACACATGGGTTCAACTACAGAACTGTCACAGAAATCAAACTTTAAACCCAAAGTTGCACAAACTGCTTTTCTCTTTTTCATAACCCATACTCAGACTTTCAGTTGCACTTCTGTAGGTCTGGACTCAGGTTGTGATTTTAGTTTTTTTTACAGTCGGCTGACTGCTTCATTATAAGACTGTAATATGTTATGTAATATAGAAGTTATAAACTTTACACCAAAGCCAATGAAATCGCCCTCTCGCCTTTTATTCTGTTGAACGTTACTAATTTTTTTCATGTAGGTGAGACACTTCAGGCCCTAGAGAACATATTCCTAGCATGACTGCGTAATTTGCTTTTGTCCGTCCAAACCACTCTAACTTGCTCTCTTATTGTGTTTAATGCCTGGCTACATTCCTCTTCCTGGATGGAGTGGTGCTCAATCTTTGACAGTGTTTTGAATGAAGGGAATGTGACAGAAAGCTTGATAATTCCAGAATTTCTGGACCTGCTGGAATGTCAATACATTTTGCAACAGGATTAGGATTCATTTCCTCTTAGAAATCAGCTAGATCAAATTTGGCTAAAGCGATTGCTTTGCCTTTTTACATTTTTTTTGGTGGATTTCCATCAGTATTTTCTTTGATTTGAACTCTGAGTCAATACAACCTGAAGAGAATGTTACCTCCACCATCTTTTACATTTTTATTGTGACTTCCATTGACACAGAAATATAGGTTTAATCTAGTCCCAGATTATTGTTTTATTCCTATAAAAACTCAATTTTGAGCTTCAAGCAAAGCAGACCTTTTGTCCTGTTTCTGTTGGGTCCTGGTTATGGCTTCTTACTGGATGTGATCATGTAAAGAACATATTTAATGTTCTGTAAAACATTAGAAAAACACTATCTAATGTCAAAAGTTACTTTGGTTATCTTTCCAGGTTTTCAGATAACTAGCAGGTGTTTAAAAATACTAATCAAGGGAATTGGTCAGGCTTCCCTAAAAAACATGTGGTTTTGGAGTCACGTGACTCATTCAGTACCTAGTTGGAACAGTAATAGTACCTTTGTTTTCCTCAAATATCTTCCTTTTTTTAAATGAAAATATAAAGTTTAGACCTGTTGGAATAAAAGGGCTTCGACCTGTGTTTAACATGGATAACGCCCTTTAAGGGTAGGGTAACATCAGTGGCGCAGAACAGTTTACTCAGGCTTTGCGGTGCATCAGTCCTCGTCAGGGGAGCTTCTCAGCTGCAGAACGACTTCTCCGCCATCCTTGCTGGACTTGCATGATCGCAAAATTCCTCGAGACTTCATAAATCGCGGTTTGTTTATGCAGTCCACCATTAAACCAAGCAGAAGAAGATGGCATTTGATGTCACTGTTTGATGTCCTAAATGATGTTGTTCCTCTCCACTGCCAGGGTTAAATCCATGAAAAGCAAACCGATGCACTTCTCGAACGATGCAGGGAGGAAATAAGCTGTTGGGTCACGCATAAAAGCACAGTCTACATAGATAAGAAATAGATTCTCTGCAGTATTCTTTTATTTTGACATTTTACACTGAAACCGTGTGCAATTTCCTGTATAGCCCGATGTTAACTGTGGAAATGAATGTGTCTCTGAAGCAGCTCTCAGCAGACATAAAACTCAGTCTTATCTTTGGCTATGCGCTGCTGCCTGTTTGGATCAACCCATAGACTAATGGGTTTTATTTGACGCAGCTACGTTCTACTGCCGTTCTGCCACCACTGATGCCGCCAATTTGAACCCAAGGTAAGAGTTCCCGCAAAAGCTGTTCAAGCAAGCTACATTTTGAAAATGGACAATTCAAAGGTTAAAACCCCTTTCCTTTTCCAAGTCACGCCCAGGAATGGGCACTGAAACTCTGTGCTTCTTTAGTACCATCTGAAAACATTTGTTAGACACTGGTACTGGAAAAATGACAATCTTTGCTAACTTTGGGTACTTTCCCAATATAAACTTATGTTAATAAGCCACACATCTCATTCCTCCTGCCGTTGTGCATCATGTGACCAGTGACGTGACCAGTGACTCAGTCACGTGATTGGGGACGCTGGCAGCTCTCTCAGGGAAGCAGCTTGTTTGTTCAAAACACCTCTCTTAAGATTGCGGACTAAGAAAATGTCAGATTACCAAAAAAGTGTCATTCAGGTACAGGTGGCAAAAACCAGGTATCTTTAAAGTACCACTGTTGAAAAAAACTAAAGGTACCATACCCTAGCCACACCTGTAGAATACAAGAGAATGCCGGACGGAGTAGATAGGTCAACAAAAACCATAAAATCTAACATCATCTTACCCATTAAGACAAAACTGAGCCACCATGGTGTGGGTTTGCAGCCCTTTTTGCTCCTTCAGTGGTCATTGGGCTATTTGATGGATGGATATTAATCCAATCATTGGGAACAGGACGTTAACAAACAGTGGTTGAGGTTTTTCCATGATTGTGCATATCCGAGGAAAATGATACATTTTTTCACTAAATTTCATTCATTGGTAGCCATCGGTATGTGACTATTCTTTCTATGTAGGGATTTCATAACATTTATGGCACGGTCACTTGTAGCTTAAATTGTCAATTGGGGACAAATAAAGTTTTCTGAGTCTGAAGAGCTTTTTAAGCAGAATGCAAAATCTGTGCTCCAGAAAAACATGTCCTACCCCACCTTCAGTAGGGGGCTGCAGCTGTTTCATTGTGTCTTTGCTCCAGATTCTAGTCGATGCAGTTTTGTTGAGGAGAGTCCTATTTTTATAACAATAGTAGGTAACAATACTTTGCTCCAGTGACTTTTTCACTAAAACCCTTTATCAATGGATGCGTAGCCACCATGGTGGAAACAGTACACCCAAGGAGTGGAAGGGTCACGGTTCGGTACAGGTTATGTGGGTTTGAGTTTTTTTTTTTTTGTCTAAACGGAGTACAAGGATATGGTTTCTTTTTCATCCGGTCTGACCTGTAAAATAGGGCTGTGTGCTTCACTTACTGATTCAAAATAACAAGTTATACAAAACATGAAAATACAAACTAAATGAAAACACTCATCAAGCTTGTCTTTTAGGTGAGTCCTACAGCAAACTGCCCACTGTTCTCTGCTAGAAGAAGACATTAAAAATCCAAGACTGTTAGCTAGCAGCATTGTGTAAAGCCTGAGTCATGCTTCTCCGTCAGCTCCAAAAGGGAGAGACACGCATGCACGGACGGAGACTTTTTGCCCTCATGCTCCTCCGTCTCTTGGGGAGTGTTGCAAAGCAATTCTCCGGCAGGACAACAGAGGGCGTAGCGCTGTTCTGTGGTATCCTGTCATGTATCGGTCCAAGATAGTGTACTTATATTGTGTTTTTTTGTATTTAAGAGAATTTTTAACACAGACAAATTTGTCTCTCATTCTCCTCCACCTCTTCATGCGCTCGCCACCTCTAAACCCACGTTTCCTGTCATTTCCGTCCACAAATAAAACGCTTGCTGCGCATCTTTTCACTCCTCCAGTCACAGGGGAATTAAACGTTCATATTTTAGAGTTTTTCGCGAGGTATTCTTGAAGCTTCTCCGTGTCTGCCGCTAGTTATCCTCGGCTCTCTTTATGTTTTTGAGGGCACAATCGCGGCTGTGTAGACGACAGCGGTGCCCTGACCAATCACAAGCTTGCGTTGTCCGTCTCGACGGACGGATGTTTAGAAAAGAGCGCTCGACTCCGTCCGTCCTTCCTCCAGCAGGCCCGCAAGGACGGATAATGGCGTTGCATGTCTCCGACCTGACGCAGAAGCATGACTCAGGCTTAAGGAGGAGAAGAGTGCTACATGAGGTCTTCTGGAGAGGAGGAGGGTGTTCAGTAGCAGGATGCTGTCCCTGCAATGCTCCATGGACCACACACTGTTAGATTCCCTGGCCACGCATGAGGGACTCAGCTGATTGGATCTGTGAACTGCTTTGATTGAGGTTTTGTTTCCTGTTATAAGTGTTTTTATTGTGTTTTAGTAACTTATTGTTCGTGTGAATGACTGCAGCTGGCCTTAAGGCCATTTCCTGCTGGACCAATAAAGTTTTTACCTACCTATTTACTCACTCTGAGATCTAAATCACCAGGGGGAAATGGTTTTTGGGTTCAAACAGCAGGAAAAGAATGACCTAAATATTAGAAAGTTCGTTTCAAGCACCGTTTTTCTACATTTTTTTGGGATTCTGCTTGGTGTACATTTAGTTTGGATGTGTTTGGGTGTTAGAAGAATCGTCGTATGCTAAACTCACTTTTTACATGTTTTGTGCTGTGGTGTGTGTGTGTGTGGCTACTTCCTCTATAAACTCTCTGACAGAAAAACAGATCAGTGGTTGTCTGTCAGTGTTTGAGCTCCTTTTAGGTGGATAATTCCCAAAACCAAACAGTCCCTGTTTGTGGGACTTACATCAGCGTCCTAGAGCCATCAGGGTAAGCTGGCCAATCAGCATTTAATGTTCATGTCCCGACAGAGTGGGCAGGGCAAACTAGTCTTTCTAATGTAGAGCTTTGTTATGGGGGTTGTGTTTGCCCATTCATCGGGGCTCCTGGGCCATTGTGAGCCTCAACAAACTTTCAGATTGCTAAAGAACAGTTTACAGCAGTGGAAATAGCTTTTTCCTTATTTGAAAAATCCTCACAAGCCATAAAAAGTTTTTTTTCCCCCAATTTGAAAAATTACAACCCCCCTCTGGTCACACTTTACACATGCCTGGATAAAAGTCTACTAAACAATTATAATCATGGAGCAAAGTGAACACACATAAAGGAAGTTGTTCGTCTGATACAAACATTGAGAAACAGTGTCGAGACCCGTTCCAAGTAGAGCCGTTCCTTACAGGAAGTGATGATGGAAAACCAGGAGCGGTTCTTTAACTTTCTCTTCCCCTCCCTGATTCCCTCCTTCTCTCCCTCCCAGGAGGTTACGATGAGTACAGCAGCAGCAGCAGAGCCGGTATGAACGGGGGCGGACCAAAGAAGCTGGTGGACCTTCTGGAGGACCCTCTGCCCGGCGTGGGCACGTATGAAGACTTCAACACCATCGACTGGGTCAGAGAGAAGAGCAAGGACCGGGATAGACATAGAGAGGTACCGGAGCGGCACCGTTTGGACTAGTAAAGTCTGTTGGCCAGCACCAAGACCTGCTTTTTCCTTGTTTTTCTGATGATGCTAATGAAAGGGAAGCTGCTAAAGCATTGATGGTGCAGCTTCATCGATCAAAGGAAGGGAAATCCATGAGTTACTGCGGCGAGAGTGGGGACATTAAAACCAGAAAAGAAGAAAAAAATAACATGATACACATCTATCTGATCTTCTCTGTGATGGTTTATATTTTTACAAACTTTTAGCTCAATCAGCAGTTATTTTTTTCTTACATAATTTTACTTTAATGCAGCTAAATCATGGTGAAGTGGTGATAAATTCAGTCTTAATGCAGGATCAACCATGAGAGTGCACACATCGCCACCCTGTATGACCTGGCTCTCTGCATGCTTTCCTCCCAGATCACCAATAAGAGCAGACAGTCGACCGTGGCCCTGCTGCGCAGCCTCAGCGACGCCTTCTCGGGATGGCTGCTCATGCTGCTGGTGGGACTCATGGCAGGTAGTTAGAAACACTTCCTCCTGTCGGTAAGCTGATGCTTTGGTTGGAAAGTCTTGGTTTGAGGCCGCTACAGAAGTCTGATTGAATCTGGAAATACACAGGAACAAAAATACTTGTGTACTAAAACATACACTCAAGTAGGGCTGCTCAATTAATCGAATTTTAATCCCAATTACGATCTGAGTTTTGAACGATTATAAAAACAAAACAAGCCGATTATTTGCTCCTCCCACTTGCGCTGCCCTGAGTTGCAAATGAAGCGCTCCTCCCAAAGTGTTGCCAACTTAGCGACTTTGACGCTATTTCTAACAGCTTTTCAGACCCCCTTCTTGACTTTTTAAATCTTAAAAGTACCTGGCGAACACCTCAGAAACATCTCTGGTAACCCTTAGCTACTTTCTGGATAACTGTCGTCGACATTTCCTGCAGGTTAGCTAAACACTCCGCCTGCGCTCCGGACCGTTCTTCAGGACATTAGGAAAGGGAATGATGTAGTGATGTGTCGGTCGCTAAAGAATCGTCTCTCAGAGCCGGCTCCCTGTTGTATTAACCAGAGTGAGTGACACACGCCGTACCTGCAGGCTCCTGACCCCAAAATTCCACTATCTCCGCTCCGCTCCGGCACGAACTCCGCAGCAAAAACGGTCCCGTTGTAATCAATCAGAGCTGTTCCACTACTGCGGCCGTGCGCCGCCCGCCGTTCCGCCATCCGGCAAAAATAGGATTGATTAATTCTATTTTTGCCGGATGCCGGAGCACCTCCGCAGTGAATGGACAGAAACCACAACCGCCCAACAGGAAAGGGAGCAAGCACAACTTCCGTTATTTCACAATAAATCGATAACAAAAAGCGTTTTTTGTTTCATATGCACAGGTTTAACAACTTTTAACAACTATCAATGGCGGTTGAACTTTAAATGCACAAAAATGAGCCATAAATACAGTTTCTACTATCAAAGTAGTCACACTTTGTCGATCCAAACACTGCTGATCTCTCAACACAAATGATGGGCAGATTAAACTGTTCATGCAGATGCTTCTCCCACACAACGGGTGTTTGGATATAACTTCCGCGTTTATTGCTCGGACTGTATCGCAAGATCTCGAAAATCCCGCGCATGCCTGTTTGCGCACCTCAGGTCTCCGCACCGGAGTGGAGCCGTTGTAGAGCGGGTACAGTATAATATGAGTTCAGAAGCGAGCGGCAGCGGAAAGCGGGGGCGGAGCGGAGATAGTGGAATTTTGGGGTAAATATGCGCGTGCGGAGCGCTAAACGCACGTGCATCTTGCCTCTGATTGCTGTGAGACCGGGTTGGGGGGTGCAGCTGTGGTTGGGACAATTATTACATTAACTGATGGACCTGTAAATAAATAGTTTATAAATAAGGTAGAAATAAGTTCCTCACGCTGATAAATAATAACTAATCTCTCAGAGGACACGGTGCTTGTGTACTCTCCTACAGCACCTTGTCATGACTTCAATAAATGTTACGCAACATTTTGTGAACATCAATTTATTTGCATATATTTGTTATAAATGCCACTGTATAATTCTTGCTGTCAGTATTTGTAAGATATTGGTATTTGGGTCTGCACTGGTTAGACTTAAATGAGTTAAACCAAGGTCTATAGCCCTTGGGTCATAGACTATGAGCTATAAGTATATTGGCCTTTTTATACTGGGAATCAGGAGTTATTTTAGTGATCATCTTGTTTCTTATTTATTTTTGTCCTGATTGTGCCTTGAGCAATTTTATGACTGAATAAAAACAAATAAAATCAACATAAATAGAAAAATCGTCTTAAATAATCGAGATCTCAATTTCAGTCACAATAATCGTGATTATTATTTTTGCCATAATCGAGCAGCCCTACACTCTATAAATGTTTTCCATTAAGAGTTTTCTCAAATGTGGAGTTTTAGATGTTTTGACCTCTGAAGAGCTGGTCATTTATTAGGTTTAGGTTCTTAACTCATTCACTGCCAGCCGTTTCCTGATCTCTAACGGCCTTCGCTGCCAGCGTTTCTAACCGTTTTTACTGTTTTTTTAAGAGTGACAGAACGTTGTGCGCTAGGATGATGTCGATGCCAAAACAACCAAAACAAAGAGGAGACTCACCTCTTACATCAGGAAGAATCCGTGTGTTTTGAGCGTTATCCGTTCTTTCATAATCCGTTGTTGAATTGTGATCGGCAGACGCTTTTCCGGTTCGCGTCTCACTTTTTTTACAAGAACGACCCAAAACGATCTCCTAACACATGGATGGTCTGCTTCCTGATCATGTGACGTGTGACGTATGTGGATGAAGATCGGCTTCAGGGCCATGTTTGTTCTCTCAACGCGGGGGCTCGTTCTGATGCTCAAACAGTAAAAAAAAATGCAAATGACGACTTTAGTCGTCATTGGCAGTGAATGAGTTAATTTGGGCTTGTAGGATCTCAGAAACATACTTTTAAAAATAATTTACAATTTATGTAATTATTTTGATTTTTGAAATTATTTTAATAATGAAATAATTTATTAAGTAATAAAAATCTATTGAAAATAATGTAAAAAAAATTCTAACAAAAATTCATATTAAATAAATTGTAAAAAATATTTAAGATAAACAGAATAAAATGGTGCAGTACCAAAAGCCAATGCCCTCATTATAGATACCAGGTTTTAGGTTATTTATGTGGCTTCGCCAAGGGTCAGGGTGGGGTTTTGAACCATCAGCCTTGCTGGCTGATCTCCACAAAGACCACTAGGTGGCAGAATGCCCTTATTCTGGCTTTTATGGCATCATAAATGTACTTTTAGGTCTGAGTAAATCAAACATGTTCAGATCTTCTACTCAGGGCTTTTCTTTCACAAATGCTTTGAAGGCATAATTTCCTTGTGTGTGTTTTAGGTCTGTTTGAGGATTATGGAGGGTGGTGTGATTTAACAGCTAAGCCCCAGGTTCCACCATATATGTGACCTCTGGACAGCGTTCAGACCAGCCTCCATGTTTACAGGGTTTTTATACATCGATATTACAGAAGCAGCAGAGGAGATGGAGAACCGTTCCTAACAGTTAATTTCACCTGTGGTAGGGAAATGGGCTCAGAGCTACCGTTGGATTGTATTTAACAGGTTAGGCTAAGGTGAGGCGGCCATATTGTTTGTGTGTCCCGCAGCAGCCCGTCGATGCAGCTAGACACTTCATCTCTAGGTTTTTATTAGTACATCTATTCTAGGCCTATTTTTGAGCGAAGGCCTTTGTCTTGAAACTTTTGGACACTCCTGGTCTATCGGCATTAATAAGCATGTTCGTGGAGTCTAACTTATCCTGAGTAGTGTGGACGTGGCCTGATAAATCCTACCCACGAGGTTCCTCAAACCTGCAGAGACTGGACCTATTTAGACTCTAGCTCCTGCAGCAGCAGCTGGGGGTGTCTAACAGCAGGCATAGAGCCTGAACAGTAGATACCTGCTACACCCAATGATTACTCATCACTTACTGCTCTACTTTCTGTGGAACAGGCAGAAACATTAACTTCTGAAGATAACATTTACAGTTCTGTGTGTTGCTCCTCGCCCTGAACGCTCCCTCCTCTCCTCCAGGCGCCCTCGCCGGCGGCATCGACATCGCCGCCCACTGGCTGACAGACTTAAAAGGTGGGGTTTGTCTCATCGGCTTCTGGTTCAACCACGAGCACTGCTGCTGGACGTCCAACGAGACTACCTTCCAGGAGAGGGACCGATGTCCTCAGTGGCAGAGCTGGGCCGAGCTCATTGTAGGAAACTCGGAGGTAGCTGCAGCGAAGCTTGGGGTCCCTCTGCTGGCTGCCAGGCGCCATTACAACACAAAGCAGCTAGATTCAGGGGGTTTATCAATATCTCTGATGTGTTTGTTCTTCCTGCAGGGGGCGTTCGCCTACATCGTGAACTACCTGATGTACATATTCTGGGCTCTGCTCTTTGCCTTCCTGGCGGTCATTCTGGTCAGAGCCTTCGCTCCTTATGCATGTGGATCAGGAATACCAGAGGTGAGAGTCCTCTTTAGGTGGATCTGATTGCTTTAACTACAGACCTGATTCAGAAAGATGGTCATTATCTGCCAGCATGAAATTTGTCTATAGATCTGTATCTCCTGTTCCCAGGTCAGTTGTTTACATTCAACTCGAGTGTTTCTCCAGCAGTCTTCACATTATATCTGTTTCTTTATATCTGTTTCTTTGAGTAAAAAGATGTTTTATGCTCGTATTTTGTAATCGTGTGTACAAACAGAGAACACTTTAAGAGTCAAACACACAAACTCATGCCCAAAGGTCGCCCAGAGGTCAACAGGGCAAGGAGGATTGGCAGTAGAGCTGCACGATGTTACGTTTGAGCATCGACGCCGCAGGTCCTGCTGTGATGTCAGAGTCACAATCTGATCCGCCAATCACAATCGTTCCTAATCCGTTTGCAGGGGCAGAGCATGAGGGCTTTAGTGGTAAAACGTGAGAAATTGTTTTCTAAATTTGATTTGCTTTTTGATGAACCAGCCATCGACATACTGGGCTGTGATTGGCGTGAGCTACACATGTTGAGTAGGGGGCAGAACTTTTGATCTTGTGGTCCGTAGATGTGGATTTCGCTTCAGCAGAGGGTAGAACCCTTCAGGTAGCGTATCCATTAAAGACTGGCACATCAGGGTTGCTACTGTAAATAGTTGAAGCTAAGCTGAGGATGTTGATGGCAGTTATGATTAAAACCTTGAGAAAAAGAGACGCATCTGAAGGAAGCTTTAGATTATGATAGGTTGTGGACTTGTTCTAGACTAGAAATGTGAGAAAACATCGTTACCCTGAAACATCGCGATATTTCGTGTCCTGATTCTGGATCATTATTTAAAAGCACTGTATAGATTTTTTTTGATGAGAAAATACACACAAACATTTACTGTATTTATTTTGTGGGGTGCAGTTCAGACTCCCAACAGCTAGGTGGCACCAGCTTTACCACCTTTAATGTCTTTTGTGTTTTTAGATCAAAACGATACTCAGTGGGTTCATCATCCGCGGCTACCTGGGGAAGTGGACCCTGATCACCAAGACCATCACCCTGGTTTTAGCCGTCTCCTCTGGGCTCAGCCTAGGGAAGGAGGGCCCTCTGGTCCACGTGGCGTGCTGCTGCGCTAACATACTCTGTCACCTGTTCACCAAGTACCGCAAGAACGAGGCCAAACGGAGAGAGGTGGGAATTCTGTTTCTGTTTAAACCGTCTAGTAGCTACTCAGTTCTTGGCTGCGCTCAGACTAGCCTTTAGCTCATCAGCCTTTTATATCAAAACTCTATTTCTCCCAACTGAGGCTGTTCGATAGTCAATTTTATGTTTACATTGAAACTCAAATCAAAAGGCCTTTAAATAATCACTTTAGGTGAATTTACAATAAAAAATCAGAAGTTTAGGGTCTGTTGGGTTTTTTTCAATCCCCAACATTTTAGAGATTATTAGTTGGTTAATTAATGTATTTAAGATATGAAACTTATGTCATTGATTTTAAATGAGTAGTATAAAAGTTGATGTATCGTGACGTTTTTCTTATGTTTGTAGGTTTTATCAGCAGCAGCAGCAGTCGGAGTGTCTGTGGCGTTTGGCGCTCCTATTGGAGGAGTCCTGTTCAGTCTGGAGGAGGTGAGGAGTAAACCCGCTTATCTGTGTTGGAACAGCCATGCATGTGGTCAGAACCTCCTACATGACTGATGCAGCACTAGCAGCTAATCAAGATGTCGTAAGTTATGGGTGAGCTGATGAAGCTTTGTGTCCCTCTCCTCCCCCCGTAGGTGAGTTATTATTTCCCCCTGAAGACGCTGTGGCGTTCGTTCTTTGCCGCCCTGGTGGCGGCCTTCACCCTGCGCTCCATCAACCCGTTTGGAAACAGCCGCCTGGTGCTGTTCTACGTGGAGTTTCACGCCCCGTGGCACCTGATAGAGCTGGCTCCTTTCATCTTGCTGGGGATCTTCGGAGGCCTGTGGGGGGCGCTGTTCATCAGGGCGAACATCGCCTGGTGCAGGAGGCGTGAGTGGCAAGCCCAGCACAGCGCTTTCTTTTCTGTTTTACGCGTGTGGGTGAATGAGGTTGCCTTCACACCTGGCAGGTAAAACCACTCGCTTGGGGCACTACCCGGTCATCGAGGTGCTGGTGGTGGCGGCGCTGACGGCTCTGATCGCCTACCCCAACAGCTACACCCGCATGAGCGGATCGGAGCTCATCTCTGAGCTGTTCAACGACTGCTCGCTGCTCGACTCCTCTCAGCTGTGTGGCTACAAGCAGGTCAGCAGAGGACATGTTTGGGTTTATTTTCTTATTTTTATTCCTCTAAACATCTAATTTTCTACTCCCTACACACACACACACACACACACACACACACACACACACACACACACACACACACACACACACACACACACACACACACACACACACACACACACACACCTGCAGCCAGTCAACGCGTCAGAAACAGGCGTAGGTAACAGCCTGGCGGACCGGCCGGCCGGGGAGGGTCTCTACACGGCTCTGTGGCAGCTGGCCTTGGCTCTCATCTTTAAGATGCTCATCACCGTCATCACTTTTGGCATGAAGGTTGGTCCAGCGCCTCATCAGCACGTCGTTCCTATTTTCTGGTAAACTCTGGTAAAGCTCTGGCTGTTTTCCTTTAATAAAAACCAATTTCCCTGTAAGCGGCGGGCTTTAGTATCTCTGCAGCAAGATTTAACCGACGTCCTTGCTGTGTCCATGGTGACCAGTAGAGGGGGCTAAAACGCTGACGCCACTGTGGATAAACATATAATTCATCTCCTCCAGGTCCCTTCTGGTCTCTTCATCCCCAGCATGGCGGTGGGGGCGATAGCTGGTAGGCTGCTGGGTGTTGGCATGGAGCAGCTAGCCTACTATAACCACGACTGGCTCATCTTCAGAGGGTGGTGCTCCCCGGGAGCGGACTGCATCACCCCAGGGCTCTACGCCATGGTGGGAGCCGCTGCCTGCCTAGGTACGGCCCATGCATTTATAGACTTGACAGGTGCTTCTACGGACCTTCATCAGGGGTTGGGAGGGATGGGGTGATTCTTGGAGCGTCTTTGACCACGGAGAGCTTGAAGGGGATCCATGTAGGAAACTATTTGAGGTTTTAGACTGAAACAGCTGGATGTGGGCAGGAAGGAGACTTTTATTTATTAGTTTTGTGTTTGACTGGATATTTGAACTTGTGTATCGATTTTATTTTTTATTATAAATGAAACGTTTTACTTAATTTGACCCTCCAGGGTGTCATACACTTGTCCTTAGTTCTGCCTGACCTCATCTGCTGTTGCATTATGGGTATTTCTGGAGTTTTTCATGCATGTTTACTATAAGAAAAAAAAAAGTAAGTCTGGGAATTGGTTAAAGGTAAAAATTTGATGTGAAAATCTTTCAAACATTTTAATGACATTTTTATGCAGTCTTACTAATAAGTCAGCATTCTCCTTACGTGTCTGTAAGATGCTGTAAACGATGCTGTTAAAGACATTTTTGGCTTCAATTCAGTCAAAAGGTCCGCCGTGGTAAGGCCGCTTATCCCATCAGGACAAAGCTTTAATTTGGTACCAACATATTTACTCCTCCACTAGTCCTGACACACATCCAGGTGGAACTCCAGTTTGACCAAACCATCCTTGCTGTTCCCCCGATCCCTTAACCTGACCCAATCTGTGGGAGTTGGCTCCAGTTTTACGAGCATTAATTTTGGTGTCCCTGTAGGCGGAGTTACTCGTATGACGGTGTCGCTGGTCGTCATCATGTTCGAGCTGACCGGCGGTCTGGAGTATATCGTTCCCCTCATGGCTGCAACCATGACCAGCAAATGGGTGGCGGACGCCTTTGGACGGGAGGGCATCTATGAGGTGACGTGTCTCTAAATGCTAAGTCCTAATATTTACACTCGGACCCTTTTTTTGACAGATAAGTTTGTAGCATGTTTTTTTCACGTGTGTTTTGTCCGGCTGAACACTCACACACACACTTTGATGTTGTTCAGGCTCACATCCGGCTGAACGGTTACCCGTTCCTGGAGGCGAAGGAGGAGTTTGAACACAGCAGCCTGGCGGTGGATGTGATGAGGCCGAGGAGGGGCGACCCCGCCCTGGCTGTGCTCACGCAGGACAGCATGACTGTAGAGGAGGTGGAGGTAACGCTACAGAACACCTGGCAGAATCTAAAAACATTTGTTTATCATTTGTTCTTTCCATCTTCAATGGAAAATCCAAAAACTTCAAACGTGATTAAAATGAAAAAGTTCTTTAATATTTTCTACTTTAGTCTTGGATCAAAACTACTGAATGGAAACACGGGCTGCAGAATCGAGTTTGAGTTTAATGTTTCGTCGGTCGGGTTAACGAGGACAGGTGTGGTACCTGTACTCAGGAGGTGTAGTTATGCCTGCAGGTATCGGTTTATATTGGATATTAAGAGTTGGTAAAATAACCAATATTAAACAAATACAGCCCCTCAAGAGCCTTAAGTTCCCTAGACGGGGAACTCTTAAAGTTCACTTTTATCATTACGTATTTTGTCTTTTTATTTAATTCTTTTTTAGTGTTTATAATAATCTTTGACGTTGCTTTTGCTTCATTTTTTTATTGTGATGGTGTGCAGCACGTTGGGCTACCACAAAGGTAATGGAAGGTGCTATAGAAATAAAATGATGGTCCTTACTATACAGGGACGTGAGGCGATTCTTTCTATGAGCACTTCCTGACCATTGCACACTCCCGTTGAGGGTAACACGTTCTGTCTGCAACACCTACGTCAGCACGACACCCGTCCATTTAAGCCTGATGTGACCCTATAAATCAGATTAGTGTCTGCGGCCCACATGAAAATATGAAAGTCAAGATGCTAACCCGCTGTTCCTTTGCTCTATTGACTATTTTTGTTTTTATTCTCATACTTTTATTACTTCTGTTTGCTTTTACGTTCGTTTTAACCGTTCCAATGATGTAATGGTACATCCTGAACATGTAGAGAATGACTTTAATAAAAAAAAAGAATACTGTTTGGATTTTTTTTCTATCAGATTACAAGATTTGTAATAATTTTTAGATTTCTGGTTTTCTAAAGCTGGTTACTCACTCTTTGATCCTAACTCCGTCTCCTCCAGACGGTGGTGGACAGCACTCACTACAGCGGCTTCCCCGTGGTCGTCTCTCAGGAGTCCCAACGACTGGTGGGGTTTGTGCTCAGAAGAGACCTGCTCATATCAATAGGTGTGCTCTGCCTGCATGCAGTAGTAGATGTATAATGACATCAACAGTATGTATGTTTTGTTCTGGGTGAATAAGTGAAGTCTGTACATGCAGCTGTCATCACAGAAAGATGAAGAAAATCACATCAGAACTAAAAAAAGTTCTTTAATAACAAAACAGTTGAAATGAAGTGAAATTTATTTTATTCCAATTTCTCTTTTAGACAACGCCCGAAAGCGGCAGGACGGTGTCGTCAGCACCTCCCAGGTGGTTTTCACAGAGCACGCCCCGACGCAGCCACCTGAAGCTCCGCCTCCCCTCCGCCTGAGGGGCATCATGGACCTGAGCCCTTTCACGGTCACCGACCACACGCCCATGGATATCACCGTGGACATCTTCAGGAAATTAGGTCTTCGCCAGTGTCTGGTCACACACAACGGGTGAGAATAAACAGATTTGGGCAAAAAAACCAAAAACAAGATATTTTAATTAAATCCAACAATTAAAAAAATAAAACCGCAACACAATGGTGGAGGTTTCTACTGCAGCATGAAAGCTGAATAGGGGTCAGTTTTACGCCGGGGACACACCGGCCGCCGAAGCGCCGCGAAACAGGGACCGCCTTCATTCGGCGCCTTTGTTATCCTATTCTATAGACCAGTGGTTCCTTATCTGGGGGTCCCGACCCCCACAAGGTGGCGCCAACGCCTCTCAGTGGGTCGCCAGGACCTCTCCACTTTAAGGGGTCAAAACTTCATTTATTACTTGTTTATAGCCTACATTTTGCTCACATTTTTTTCACGAGTGAAAAGTTTACTGATATTAAGACAGGAAATAATTAGTACAGAAAAAGTAACACACTTTTAAGAACATTTTGCTCAGCTCACTGTTTTATTTTCAAGTGTCAAAAGTTCATTAAAGATAGGACTGGTTGATTAATCACAGCCTTTACAGTAAATAATCTAGTATAAACAGTAATATACACATTTAAGTACATTTTGCTCAGTGTATTTTTTATGTGTCAAACGTTTATTGAAAGGAATGATTGATTTATCAGTGTTTACAAGAAACAATGTGATCAGAAAAGTAATACAAACTGTCAAGCACATTATGCTCCGTTTGGTTTTGTTAATGACTTTGTTCTGTACTGGAGCCTACTATTACTGTTATCTATTGAATCAAAGCATATTCAAATGTGCTTGAACAATTTTATCATTTCTTAATAATGTTTGTACTGGAAGAGAGAATGGGAGGGGGTCGTCAAAAATTTTACTGGTAAAAAACGGGTCCCTTGGGAAAAAGGTTGGGAACCACTGTTATAGACCACATGGGCCGCCAAAGCGCCGCGCTCCAGCCCGCGCTGTGCAGCGATTGTTTCGGCGTCTGCTCTATTTTGTTCGCGAGCCGCGGGTGAACCGCGTCAATTCTGGCAGGAAGTCAAACCTAGACATAAGAGGCAGGCCGGTAAATTTAACTAAATAAAGCATTTCAAAATACAATTCCGCGATAGTCAAATGTTTTCGTAAACAGACACTGCATAAAAACCACACAAACACACACACACAGCGAACTTGTGTGTGTGTGACCACGTGAAGGGGGTGTGGTTTTGGGTGTCATTCAACCGGGCGGAGCAAACGGGACAGAGAGGCAGAAAGTCGTAGGCCAGCTATTAACAACTGGTTCACACCATAAGTTCACACACACACGTACAAACACACACACAAACAGCAAGGGGGAGGGGGGTGTCGAGGAAAAGAGCAGAGAAAAGGAGGAGAGGAAATGGAGGACACCAAGTGGTTAAAAGAAAAACTACGAGGCGCGCCTCGAGCGGGCAACAAGCGTCTGGTCTGAACTGAGGAGCAGCGGCCGAATTTCGTGAGCGCTTCGCCTCCCAGCGCTTCACGGCGCTTCGGCGGCCGGTGTCCCCGGCCTCATGACTCCAGGTGCTGAGTCGGCTGTTTAGAACGTATCCCTTGACTACAATGTAACCTGGTGTTTCGCCAGAACGTCTGAAATGGTTTCCCCCTCCGAGCTCCTTTGAGGCCCTCGATGCTGCTGCTCTATTCCTGTCTCGATGAAAACACCGTTCCTTATGAAGTTCTGCTGAATGCCAGTCCAACAGACCATTACAGTTCATCCTCCCACTGAGCATAAACACAATGTGTTTTATTCATGCATTCTTCTGTAATACCTTCGCTTCAAACCTCTCACACACGCTTCTCTCAGACAGAGCTCTTGTTGCCACACACAGATTTCAGGGATTTGGGAAGTGGAGTTATGCGTCTCATGAGGTCTCCGTCTGACGGAACTTGATCACACAGCTTAGTACTTCCTCTTTATCTTGTTTCACGTTGTAATCGTTGTCGGGAGGAAAAGGGAGATGCTGAGATTTAAATTGTAAGTTAATCTCCCCCTACTGATTGGAAGTGGAATTGCAACTATCGTACAAAACCCTGTCCTTATGTTGGGTATCATAATATGTAATATTAAATAATTATACAACACATAGGTGTTGTGCTTGCATGGCTTTCTGAATGTACGATTATTGGCTGTTCAGAAACAAAGGGGAAAAAAGAAATGTGCTTTTAGCTACTTTATTTTTAGATGGTTTGAAACTAAAGCCAAGTTTTGTCCATGTCAGTGTTCACTCTGGGTTTAGCTCTTTGTCTAGGTCACACTTTCTGTACTTTAACTTCCAGGCTCGCCATGATGACAACATAAACACAAACTACTACTTCTTGTGCTTATTATTGACAGCTTGCTAACTGAAAAGGCTAACTGCTAGTCTTTACATCCACCACCAGCACAGTGAATAGCTACCGTCTGAAAGCAGGTAGAGACCTCCCACTATTGCTCCTACCTGAGCCACATAACTGTTTAGTTTCTGGGCAGCAGAGTGCTGTCGTATGTGAAGCTGCTCAAGTTTCTGCATCGCGAATCACTGAAACCAGTTTCAAAATATCATCTTAAAGTGTTAAAAACTCTTAAGTGTTGCTTTAGTCAGCCACTTTGTCTAAATGAATCCAAACACACAATGGCTCTTACCAATCTGTAAGTTAACTACATTCTTACGTGAAATAGAAGGAGATGAGTGTAAAAAAGCAACTATAAAGATTAAAAATGGCACAGTAAGTTTTCTTGTCCGGAGCATTTAGGTGTGTGTTAACACCAAGGATAAAACACATCAGCAGGGACTTCAGAGAGACAACTGTTGCTGCCTGCCAACCTGGGTAGGGTTAAAGGTCACTAGTTATTCACTAGTGAAAAACATTAAGAGCTGCTTCATGTTCCTGAACATTTACCTGGATCTCAGACCCTTCCACCCTCAATTTTCAGGTTAAAGGTCACAACAGGACCAGTTAGAAAAGGCCGAAGGGCTGAAGACACCAAAGTAGAGTGGTTGGTGACAACTCATACCAGCTGTCGGCACGGTGGTGGAGGGTTAATGATTTGGTTTTAATCAATCAGTCCAACTTTATTTATGGAGATCTTTTCAAACAGCTGGACTTGACATGGATTATGACAAATATTAAATATAATATAAAATAATGAAATTATCAATTGTTTGTAAGTGGACCTTGAGGGAACCTGGGATCTTTAGTTTTATCACCAGACTAGATTCAAGGCTGCTTAGTCAGCAGGAGTCATGCCTAGTTAGATGGTCATTTGTTTTTAGAAACAAAAGTTTGGTTTCACTTTTCTTCCCATCATCAAATGAAACTGAAAGAGGAAAACGGCTCAACTTAATTCATGAGACATTTTTTTTACCTTTAAATTATAATAATGATAATAATAATAACAATTTAAATAAAATATTTGTTATAGTTTTACATTCTAAAAGCTTAAGAATTAAGATGGTGCTCAATCTGGTTCTGGGTCTAAGGAGCAGGTGCGAGTGAGAAGGAGCATTTCCATACATGCATTGACGAGTTGAGAGAGAGATTTTGTCATTTATCCTTGTGAGGCGAGTACAGGACGGGTGTTCATGTTTCATCACTCTCAGCAGGACCCTAGCTGCAGAGTTTTGGACATCTTGGAGCTTCAGAAGGCAGTGGTCCCTGTGAGCAGTGAGTTGCAATAGTGCAGTCTAGAGAAGGCAAAAGCATGGATCAGTCTTTCTATCTGGTAGCATAAGAGCAGCGAGAAGGTGGTGGCACACCCACACCTTTATCTCCTCTACTTCCTCCACAGCACTTGTTTGGAATATTTCCTCTGAAGTTGTATGTTAAGGAATTAAATTCAGAGTTTTACGTTTTCATAAGTAGCTCAGGAGGTAGAGCAGGTTGTCCAGTAATCGGAAGGTTGCAGGTTCAATCCCGGCTCCCACCAGAGAATGCTGATGTTGTGTCTTTGGGCAGGACACTTGATCTGCCTTACCTGCTGGTGGTGGTCAGAGGGACCGGTGGCGCCATTGTGTGGCAGGCCTCGTCTCTGTCAGTGCACCCCAGGGCAGCTGCAGCTACATCATAGCTCCTCCCCACCAGCATATGAATGTGTGAATGACTGATTTTGTTGTGAAACACCTTGGGGGGGGGGGGGGGGGGGGCTTGAACATGTTGTAGGGATCAAAGGAACAGTGCTAGGCTGGTTTAAATCCTACCAGTCTGATAGATTTCATTTTGTAAACGTACATGACTAATCTTCATACTCAAGGGTTACTTGTGGAGTACCACAGGGTTCAGTGCTTGGACCAATTATTTTTTCTATATATTATATTATATATATACATAAATATATATATATATAATATGCTTCCCGTTGGTAAAATCATTAGACAGCATGGGATAAACTTCCACAGTTATGCTGACGATACTCAGTTATATCTATCCATTAACCCTGATGAACCTATTCGGTTAGGTAGATTACAGGCTTGTCTTGAAGTCATAAAAAATTGGATGACTTAAAACTTTCTGCTTTTAAATCAAGACAAGACGGAAGTTCTCATCTTTGGACCCGAAATTCAGAAAAGGAAATTGCTTAATCAATCACCTGACCTGAATGGCATTAAATTAGTCTCCAAGAACAAAGCAAGCAACCTTGGTGCTATCTTTGACCAGGACATGTCATTCAAATCCCACGTTAAATAGGTTTGTAGGATTTCCTTGTTCCACCTTCAGAATGTTGCTAAGATTATAAGCATCCTCTCCAGGAGTGATGCTGAAAAACTAGTTCCTGCATTTATTACATCAAGACTGGATTACTGTAATTCATTACTCTTAGGAAGTCCACATAATGTAGTTAAGTCTTCAGCTTGTCCAAAATTCTGCAGCTAGAGTTCTGATGAGATCATATCTCTCCTGTCTTAGCTTCCCTACATTGGCTGCCTGTTAAATTCAGAATTGATTTTAAGATCCTCCTTCTCACATATAAAGCTCTTAATAATCAAGCTCCATCATACATCAGTGATCTGATTGTACCATATGTTCCTACCAGAGCATTTCGCTCTCAGACTGCAGGTCTACTGGTGGTTCCCAGCATATCTAAAAGTAGGATGGGAGGCAGATCTTTTAGCTATCAGGCTCCTCTCCTGTGGAACCAGCTCCCAGCTTTAGTCCGTGAGGCAGACACCTTGTCTACTTTTAAGACTAGGCTTAAAACATTTTAATTTGATAGGGCCTATCAAGTTAAAATCTGATGTTAGCCTAGATCTGGACAAGCGGGGGAGTAGAGGAAGGTGGAGTGTACAGTCGGTAAAGACGGCTCTCCCTGTTGTATGTGTTTCTTTCTGTTAAAAGGGAGTTTTCCTCTCCACTGTCGCTATATTCTTGCTTGGTATCAGGATTGCTGTAAAGACTCTGACACTAGTCAGTGACTCGATGCAACCTGCTGGGTTCTTTTATATAGGAAACTTTTTACGGATTGGCTTAATGAACGGAATTGTATTGGAATGTTTACTGTATGAAGTTCTTTGAGATGACTTTTTGTGATCATCTTGATCATTTTCAGCAGTGAGCATTCAAACAGCATTCCTGCCAGAGTTGTGATTTATCTAGTTGCTTTTCTCACCAGGACCTGGGTTGAGTCTGGGTTAGCTACACCACTTTGGTCACATAAGGATGAGGGTAAAGAAGTTAGGAGATGAGATGCTTCTGCTTTCTGTCTCAGCTCTGACTGGCCCTGAGGTAATTCGTATCTTCTATGTTTGTTTGTGATACCAGGAGGCTGCTGGGAATTATCACTAAAAAGGACATACTCAAGCACATGGCCCAGATCGCCAACAGAGACCCCGACTCCATCCTCTTCAACTGAGCTCCAGTCGTCTTTGCTTCCACGAGTCAAGAAGACGATGCCAGCCTCAGAATGCAACTTTACCTCTCCGAATTTTGAAAGGCAAAAACGGGTCGGGGCTCATTTGCACATCAGACTGGCGACTGGAATGTTGTTCCCAGGGATTTCTGAGCCCGTTTTAGGGTGTATAAAATGGTTTATAATGAAGAAGGAAAAGAGTCTCCTGTCCAGCCCCTGGAAGGGGGACTTAATCACCTGCTGTTCTTTGGCATTTTTTCTGCTCTCTTTTTCTTCTCATTTTTTCCAAACAAGACTGGAATCTGTGAGTCAAATCTCCCTGGGATTCTTTCTCCTCCGGTTACCGTCTTGCTACACCTGAGACTACAGGGAGGTGGGAAGAGATAATCCTGTGTGACGGACGCTGAGACGAGAGGTGAAGGAGGGGTTTAGGTGGTTTCCCTCCAGCCATCGCAGCGAGCCCAGACAGATGACTGACTTGTGCTGCTGGATGTTCTGACAGCTTCCTGTGCCCCCCCTCACCCCCCCAGGGATGGGAATGTGGGAGGAGGGACACAGTCGGCGCTAGAGGAGGACTGCATACTTACGCTCCACGAAGGTCCTGATGACAGCCTGGGAAGTCTCCTTATATGTCTGGTTGTCTCATAGATGAGTGAGACTGCTGATAGCCTTGGAGGTCTACTGGGCTGCCAGTCAGACCCAGACAAGCACTACAGCTGTTTACATCCTGAAAAACTATCAATGATTGCATCCCGGGAATCTGCAAACGCCACCTCATGCCTTACGAGAGGTTGGAAGTGGGCGGACATGAATATGCAGCCAGAGAAACATCATCACACATGAATTAATTTATGTAAATGTAAAATTTTTCATTCCATTAAATTATTTCATTGAATGAAA